ACACTGCAAGCCCTCGTTGGACTCCTCCTAGGCTCTCAACTGCTTCCGTGCCTCTCTTAAGAAGTGCAAGAAATACAAGGTCACCGCTCCACTCCAATCTAGGGTCATGGAGGACTGGAAGCAGGGTGCATGAGGGAGGGAGTGGTGATTTCAGAATATCCTTTGTCAGCACTCACCCCATACGTACTTTCATGTATCATGGCTGCCTTTAATGGTGTGGAGCTGCCTGAGAGGATTTCCTGTCTGAGTTCCAGTTGTCAAGCTGGGAACTAATTCTAATTTCATATCTCTAACTTATCAAGGGAGGATGGTCTTCACCAATTCCATGAGGGCTTGGCCCCCTGGAGGAGGCACTGTGAGAATTCTTTTCTCAAGATCCCATGCCAACTATTCATGGATCTCCTCCAAGCTCCGCAACTGAGTGCCAGGAACAGCTCTTATCTCCTTCTGCGTGGTAGAGAAGAAGCTCACATTCCATCATGCTTTTCTTTTGCTGTGCTTTATGTTAAAATTCTGTGGGTTTAGCATCCCAGGTTGATTACCTTTTTTTTTTTTTTCAATGCTACTGCATCTTTTCTCTAAAGAGCCTGCTTTGGAATTCATTAAGAATTTGACTTACTGAATTTCACTTGCTGGGTTTTCTGGTATACTCTCTTTTCTAGGACAAACACCTTAGCCTGAAGATATTTTTTTTTCTTTTTATTGAGGTTATTGGTACAATCTAGGTATACAATACAATTACATTCATCATTGGGATTCTGTACCTTTACATAATAGGTCTTGATTCTCATTTTTCCCTTTGTCCCTGCCATCCCTTCACCCCCTCCTCCCCTCCCCATTTATAAACACTTTATTTCCATTTTTTCAGTTTTTCCTATTTTTTTCCTCTCCCTTATTACCTCTCCCCCACCCTTCCCACTTTCCTTACACCTTTAGCCCTTTACTTCCTATTTCACATTATTAATTATCTCATTAGCATCCTGTGTACTATTATAGTTTTTCACACCAAAGAAACTATTCGGTATTTCAGTTAAAGAAATCTCTGTATGAACATAAAAAATAGGGAATCCTAAAATAAAACTAAAAAGGAAAGTAAAAGAGAAAAGGCAATGATGTAATATCAAAATAATCCTTAATTCTGGAGATGAAAATGGTCCCTGAATATATTTAAATTGCTTCTCGCTCTTATAGTCTTATCTTATTCTTTTTTTATTATTTAGAGAATACTTTCTTAGTTTCTGTAATCAAACCCACGTAGATATGACCTTACATATTTAGTACAATGTGTTACCCCTGTACACCTGAGGATAATTTTTAAATAGTGAAGATGTTGCAGAGTAAAAAGAAAATGACAACAAGGTAGACTGGTAATATGTTAAAGAATTCTACAGCTACTTATAGGGTATGAACTGAAATAACTTACATGGTCTACTCTAAAATCTCCCCTTTGGTGGAAACTGGAAAGAAGGTAGGCACATTTTTTGAAGATGTTAAGCTGAAATAGTCTAGAAATTTGCCAGATGGAGCAGGTTTTTCTGTTTCACTCAGCTTTGAGAGTCTTCCTATGCCACTGACTTCTTTTCCATGACTTCCCATGAGCATTCCAAACAACAAGCATTACTCACTGTCATCCAATGGACTTAAACTATCTCCTTGGGGAAGGAAAGAAAAACCTTGTGGCTAAAAATGTCAAGCCTGAGATCCTACAGCTCTGCAAGAGAAACTTGGGGGAATGTTATTTCCTCGGCTGGAGAATAGACTGGATGACTAGAATGTTCTTTTCCCAGTCTGCTAATTTCTGTGATTCAAGGAAAGCAGGTGAGAAAGGATACAGAGGAAACCCAGTTCTCAGGGAACAAAACTGAAGGCTAGTTATTCTAATATTTCGAAAAGTTTTCTGAGATTTTAATAAATGCCTTCTAATAATAAAATATCAGCCCATTAAAAAGAATTAATGCTTATATTATCATAGATTTAAGCCCTTAGATATTTGCGAACAAGTTAGAACACCCCCAGATCTCTTAGTTCCTGGTGGTAAATATTCATAGAACACTGATGATGAATGCAGTGCAAATGGAGATGCTTTATTCCCAGAAACTAAACTCAGTTAGTAGAATATTCCCATGCCACGCACAGGCTACACCCGATAAAGAAACGAATCATGGCTAAATGATATATGTATCCTGTATATGCATGAGTTATCTATATGCATATGTATATATGTGATTTTTGAAAATTAAAAGGTATTTTACCCATGAGAGAGAAGAGTTTAAGTACTAGAGCAATTAATCTCTCAAGCCACAATGGTGCCTTGTGTAGTATTGAGAGCATGGGCTGGGGTCAGAATACCTGGGTGAAAATGACTTACTACCTCTGTGGCCTTGGGGAAGTTACTGGACCACTTTATGTAGCAATAATGTCTTTTCCAAGATGGAAGCCATAATTGCACTTGCCCCATGGGGTGGTCATGGGCATTAAATGGGTGGACATGGTACCCTATACAGTACAAATATGAACTTTTACTATAATTACTAGTATGTGCAAGGCTCCATGTTAGGTGCTCTGAGTGATAAAAGTAAAAGATACAGGGTCACTACCCATATATAGTTTACTATCTAATTAGGAACCTAAGCTACTTTCCAATATGAAGTTAAATATTAATACCTGGGGAGAAAACCAACAGTTCAATTTAGTAGCAAAGACCAGCCTTTTAAATAAAAAGCCATAGGGACTGGATGACATGTACCAGAGGAGTATTTTTATACAGGGGATTAGTCTTGTATTTGTTTTCTTTCACCTGACATTTATCTCCCTGACATATGAAAACAGGCCCAAGGCAGATTGTACAATAGACACTGTTTGCTGTGGTCCACACAATGTTAATCCTGAAGTGGCTTAGCCATGGTTGAGCATTAAACGATGAAGATGCTGATGCTGGACTTAGGCTCTAGACAACAGAGGTGTGTTGAACTGTGAGTGCTCTGAGAAGTGGGCCAACTGCTCAATGCCATTTATAGGGGGTGGTGGCTGCTTCAGCTGAGTTTTGGATTTGTCTGAGTTACAGACAGTTCCAGTTAAGCTGTGGTTATCCAGTTTGAGGAGGTAACACTGCACAAGAACTGGCACAAAAGAGTGCACGTCTAATTGCCAAACAGTGTAGTGGACCAGGGCTCTGTGAGATCAAGGACAGGGCTGCTTACTGGGTTCTGAACAGGGGTGGTGATGAACAGCCTGGGAAGAAGGGATTAGGAAAGGCCTTTGATGAGATTTAAGGTGCTCTTTGGATTAATGAATCCATTTAAGTCAAATATTAATTCTTCCAACTTAATATGTTTGTCACTCCAGATTTTCACCTGCACACTGTCCCTAAATGAGACTTTGTAATGAAAGATAATTCTCTAATAAACTGTGAGTCTAATAGGGAATATAGCCTTCATCTATAACATTGCTTCTGTAGGGAAAGGGAGATATTTTAAATTTTAGGTAATCAATTTACAAATCCAGTTTTGAAAATTATTTTAATTCATTCTTCCATTAAACAATGATTTATGTGCTTTGGCTATGTCAAGACACTATTGTAGGTGATGAAGGAACACAGAACAGCAAACAAAACAAAAGATCTCTGCCATTCCAGGGTTGATACCGTGGAGAGAGGAGAGAGTACAACCGCACTATTATGCATAATAAATAATTGGTATGGTGTGTCTAATGGTGCTAAGTGCAGTGCGATAAAGAAAAAATAGAGTAAAAGGCCAGAGAATGGATGGCAGTTTAAAATAGGAGCCACCGAGAAGGTGACATTAAAAAAAACGTGTGAAGGTAGCTGGCCAAGATACCTAACCGAGCACATGTAGAGCAAGAGCCTTCAAGGAAGAAGGAAGTGCTTGTGCAAAGGCCCTGCAGCAGGAGATTATCTGGTGAGTTCAAATTGTAAAGATACCAGTATAGTGGAGCCTGGATAATGTCAGACCTCTGGCCCATGAGCTCACCCTGCCTAATAAAAGAGGTAGTGAGTTCTCAGGAGCTTTGGGCTCACCTCTTCTTTAGCTGGCTGCAAGGACTGTTTTTGCTTCCTTTGAAAGTACTCCCTTGAAAAACTTCTTTTCGTACTTTCGTATTAGCCATGGGTTCCCTTTCCATTCATGGTTTTACCACCTGGCTTGTTTAGGGCTGTACGAAGCAGGCTGGGGAAAACTTTTCTAGGGTGTCATCACTGCTACTGTGAAGAGTGTTTTCTGAGCCTCCATCTGGAAAACGCTCTTCTGCTCCTCGGTCCCCCTCTCTCTGACCACCTTTCTGCCTTACCCAAGTACTGGAACACGATTCACCTTCATCTGGTCCTGTACCTCGAGAGTCAGCCCAGCTCTGCAACCGAGGGTGGAGGCACTGGAGGGTGTGGGTTTACAGTTTAGGCGTGGAAGGGCTGGCGATTTGTGACAGTAAAACATAGGTTACCGAATCTCAGAAGTGCTCCTGGGCATCTCAAAGCTGAAGTTTTATCATCAGAAGAATAGGAATAATAATAATACCTCCCTCATAAACAGCTAATGCACATAAAGCCTCTAGTAATATGTCCAGCAATATGATACTCACAAAATACTAGCTGCTATTATTTTTGGTACTAAGTCGTTCTGAGGACTGGCATTATGGCCCCCACTTCACATTCCCTGATGCCAGAGCAAATCTTTTAGCAGAGGCCTTCAAGGATGAGACACAGAGACCAAGCAAGAGCAGTCTCATCATAACGGATGTAAAATGATATCCCTGAATGGAGAGCAGTGTTTGGAAAATAGTTGATGGGGGGAGGTCGTGATGGTTATCTTGTACTAAAGGAACGAATGTACTTTACGAGCTCCCGGGGGCACACATGAGATCCGCGAAGCGGAGAGCCCAACACACTGCAGCAGAGGTCGGAGAAAACCGCAACAGTGAGAGTTAAGGGGCGTTAGGGCGTGCGCAGCGGCGGGCTAGTGCGCAGTCGCGGCGGCGGAGCCAATCACGCGGCGCGGTCAGCCGTCGCGCTACCGTAAGGTCGCGCAGTCGGCGGTTGCTATGGAGATGCGCGCTGCGTAGGCGGATAGCTGTAGCGGAGAGCCTCCGGATCGGAACGTGGTTGTGAAGCAGAGTTCGTCTCCACCATGAGCGGCCGCAGTAGAGGTAGAAAGTAGCGCAGCGGCGCTAGTGCGCAGTCGCGGCGGCGGAGCCAATCACGCGGCGCGGTCAGCCGTCGCGCTACCGTAAGGTCGCGCAGTCGGCGGTTGCTATGGAGATGCGCGCTGCGTAGGCGGATAGCTGTAGCGGAGAGCCTCCGGATCGGAACGTGGTTGTGAAGCAGAGTTCGTCTCCACCATGAGCGGCCGCAGTAGAGGTAGAAAGTCCTCCCGCGCCAAAAGCCGGGGCAAAGGCCGCGCCAAAGCCCGAGTCCGCGCTGTTCCCGACATCGCCTCGCGCGACCCGGATCCTCCACAGTGCCAGAGCCCCGGTGAAGACACCCAGGTGGCACAGGTGCAAGCTAGCGCGAGGGGGGGTGGCTCGAAGGCTGCTGCTCCTGCGCAGCCCCTGCAGCTTGGGGACGAGGACCTGGACCCCTGCCGGCTGCCCTTGGACTGCGGCCTCGCTCTAAGGGCTCAGGCCGCGGGGGAGCGCGCCTTGGCTGCCACGAGGCCCGGCCCAGGAAGGGCCTTGTCTTGCTCAGAGCGCCTGGCCGCAGACACCGTATTCGTGGGTTCTGTGGGAACTGTGGCGAGGCCGAAACTTGGTCCCTGCGCTGGAACCCGGTGTGGCTCTGCTGGGAAGAAGGTGCCAGAAAAAAGCTGTAGCTCGGAGGGGAGGGCGTCCCAGGCCCTAGATGGTGGAAAGCCGAAGAAAGGGCCTACTGAGGAGTGCACCCCCATCCCAGGGGAGGAGGAAAGGAAGGTGGCGGAGACGCATTCGAGTTCTGGGCCCGTGGCGCCGGCAGGCAACATGGACACCCTAGAGACCGTCCAGCTTAAGCTGGAGACCATGAACGCGCAGGCCGACCGGGCCTACCTCAGGCTCTCGCGCAAGTTTGGGCAACTGCGACTGTACCACTTGGAGCGCCGGAATACCCTCATCCAGAACATCCCGGGCTTTTGGGGGCTAGCTTTCCAAAACCACCCCCAGCTCTCATCTTTTCTCAACAGCCAAGATAAAGAGGTACTAAGCTATTTGAATAGATTGGAAGTGGAGGAACTCGGCCTCGCTAGATTGGGCTACAAAATCAAGTTCTATTTTGGCCGTAATCCCTATTTCCAAAATAAAGTGCTCATCAAGGAATATGGCTGTGGTCCTTCTGGTCAGGTGATTTCTCGTTCTACTCCAATCCAGTGGCTCCCAGGACATGATCTGCACTCCGTATGTCAGGGAAACCCAGAAAAAAAACGAAGTTTCTTTGGGTGGTTTGTGAACCACACCTCTATTGAGTCTGACAAGATTGTCGAGATAATCAACGAGGAACTATGGCCCAATCCCCTGCAGTATTACCTTCTGAGTGAAGGAGCCCGTGGAGAGAAAGGAAAGGAAGGCAGGCCAGGTACAGCAAAGCAGCCTGTGGAGACCCCTCAGCCTGAGGTGAAACCACCTAAATGATCCTGTGCAAGTCTCCTTACCTCCTGCGGGACCTATTCCTGGCTTCTCGTGTGCTTGGCTGCCAGTGTTCTCTTCATCTTGACCTCCATGTGCTGTAGTCCATTTGGACTTTAGCTACAAGAATATGGAACTTATGATCATGTTCTTTTGCCTCTTTGTGGCCTTCCTGTTTTTTTTACAATAGTGATCTTACCCTGCTGTTTTTATGCTAAGCACTTACACTTCAGATGTGTGCTGCCTATCTGTGCATTGCTAGGGCCCTGTTCTTGGCTCTGGCCTTTCCCACTTGTCTTTAACATGAACATTCACAAATCATTCTTCAGGAGGATCAGAGCATCCCCAAGCTCTGCTACTTCGTGGCCAGTGACTTGCTGGGCTTCAAGTTCATGCTGGGCATGCACATTATCAATTACTGTTACCACTGCAAAATGAAGCCAGTGCATGCAATTAGCCAGACTTTATTGCTGTATGGGTCTGGGAGCACCAGCCAAGGTGCCACTTACCTTATCTCTAGCTTTGGCCAACAGAATGGCCCTTGACCGCCGGGCACCAATGGGCAGTATGCCATGTATTCTCTACCATCATGTGTGTTTTCTTGCCTCAATGTGTCTACTGATGAACCTTTAGTGTTTGTCTATGCCTGGTGACTGTCAGACCTCTAAGTTTAGTCCAGTTTGCTATCAGCTCTAGTTGTCTTCCTGGTCACAAGGACCTCAGGAACTGCCTGTGGACTCCAGCGCCCTGCCAACGCGTGAGAAACACCTGCCCTCAGACTCCAGGAACCCTACTGGCTGAGACTGATGGGCGGGTTGGTATGTGTGGACATGATTATTGTCTTTATGCTGTGGCTCCAGGTCAGGGTGGGACCTGGACCCCACCTTTGTCAACTGAATAACTTTGTCAACTTCCCTTATTTCCTCTGTAAGATATGACCAGGGTGCCCTAGTGGAGGTAATGTGGAAGAGGTGTTTCTCATCTGTGGACTGCTGTCTACTTGATTATATCTCACATGTCCATAAGTACTTCTTTGATTTCCAGGCCTCCTATTCCACGCTCCCTCTTTCCACCACCTGCCTTTCCTTCCCTGCCCCTTTTCTTTCTTCCTTTTTGATTTTTTTTTTGATTTTTGAAAATAGTACCACAGCTCAGGCAGAGAAAAGGGTTTTCTACATATAGAGCCAAGGATACAGCTGGGGATCTCTATGCACACTCACATACAAGGCTGACATAGAATCAGGGAAAACAGAAGGCCAAGTGGGTCTGTGGTCAGATTCTGGTCCTCACACCTGGGGCTCACTGTACAGTTCTGATGTTGAAAACCCAAGGCAACTGTGTTGTAGACTAGTGTCGACTCTTTGTGTGTGTGTGTGTAGGTGGTGGGGCAGCACTCAGGGTTAAGCCTGAGGCGTGCATATGCACTGAGTTACAGCCCTGCTCTTTAAAAAAAAAAAGTTTATAGTTTTGTGGGGTTGTGGTTTGTTTTTACTATTTTTTGTTTTGTTTTTTGGTGACAATATCTCACTAGGTTGCTCAGTTGCTGAGGCTGGGCTTAGGTTTGCAGGCCTCCTGCTTCTGCCTCCCACACTGCTGGGATTACAGTCTGTTCTTGTTCTGCCTAATGTTTGTATTTCTCACAACCAGGGGCTTCTTGCTGTCTCCTCCTTTGTAGTAGTTTCAGCTGTCTGGATCATCTTGACAGTCCTTTGCTCTATATCTTCAGATGCCTGCAGAAGTAGGTATTTGTCTCCACTGTATCCAGGTGCACTTAGGGTATGGGAATCTGTTCTGGACCTTCAGGTTATTTCCAATAGCTGAGCAAGCTGAGCAAGCTGAGCCTGGGCCCACCCTGCACAGGCTTGTCTCTGTCCTCTTTCCTCCTCGTCCTTGAGGGTGGAAAGGAGGATTAGGTCTACAGTTGCACTCCCCCGGCTTCCTTTATCTTAGAATAGACCTCATTCTAAGCTTTGTGAGGGAGTCTTTGATTAAGAGTTTCAGTAAAACAGGTCCAGGCAGGGAAATTAGAGTAAATATGGAGACAGGTCTGATTCTAGTATGGGATGGCCTGGCAAAATGACAAATGGCTTGAGAAGGTGCAGGGAGAACATGATTATCTCAGTCATACAAGGAAAAAAAAAAGCCTTTCTCAGGGTCAGGAAGGGAGAATTAAAGGGGTTGTTGATGAGTAGGATGCATAGGTGAGGGTGAATCTAGAATTTTGACCAATCTGCCTCTCATAATTAGTGGATTTTTTGCATCACTGAGCCAAAAAAAAATAAGGTTCACTTTTGGATGCTTCCTCTTTTTTTTTTTTTTTTTTTTTTTTTTGGGGGTTTTTTTTTTTTTTTTTTTTTTTTTT